AATGAGCTACATTTGCAAGACATTGCTTTACACAATTGCCAGAGGGTAAATGTGATTTTCATATGTGACCCACCATTCCACAACCGGGCTGAAGTAGGCGATTTTGTTTTACAATCTTCTCCTCCATTTGCCTATTTTCATACCTGAAAGTGATGCAAAATTTTAAAAGTTTGTCTGCAGCAATCTTTGTAAGTTATGGGCATTGAAAGTTGGACTGTCCATTGTTAACATCTATATTGGTATAATTATTAGATTTCCGTTAATACGTCAAACAGTTTCCCAATTTAACAGCGTGCAACGTGACCTTGTTTTAACATTTAATAATAATGCCCGCTGCATAAGAAAGGCTCTGGCACCTGGATACAAGACAGATTAAAGTCGATTCTAATTGGTCAAGTGTCTGGTGCACGCGGCTCGCCACACACGTGCCAAGTCCATATATGGAAATTCTTCTGGACAACTTGAACAAGAAATATACTATAAAATGGACGGGGGGTGCTCAGGAATATGAAATTAAAATTCCAGGACAAAATCATTGGAAATAAATCATACGTTGACTTCTTTTGACTCTGACTACAAACAATCAATGGGAATAAATATGTGCTAGGTGGGTCTTAAATGTTAGTTTAAGACTGCCTCAGGAAAATGAACACTGCTAATGCATTCTCCTGAGCTGGTCTTAAATGCATGTTTAAGACTACCCAAGCACACATTTATCCTCTCAATAACTTGCTGTGCTTCAGCCTAGTTTTGGAATGGTGAGTCACATTTTGTATGGTTGAAATACTTCTTTATATGTAACCTTTATGTTTATACATGTATGTCACCTACATGTCGCATTTAGTACAAAGCTTATTTTGGATCAGTTAGATAAATACAGTCACATTCTTACTCTTGAAAATTAAAAAATTGCTGATAAAAGAAAATGCTTACTCCCATTTTTGGGTGCAAGTCAGGTTTCGGTGTAGTTTGTTACCTACAAGTGTTTGATAACAAATTGACATAACCCAAGCTGCTGATCGTGAAACTTCAGTGGCTGATACCAAGGCCTGTGGCTTTGCTGTGGTTCACCACAGATCACCACAGACACTTCCTTTAATTCAGAACACAGTTCAGGAAGTTGCCCTCAACCAAGACCTTGTTTTTTCAATCACTCCTTTTCTTCTCCTGCTGAAAAGTATGCTTTGGGCAGAGCCATCTCCCAAAAGTTGAATCCAGGATGTGTTTGATGATATAATGGACCATGTTTTTCCAATCAAGTGCCAATTCCTTGTATTAGTATTTGCATGTGATTCTAGACTTGTATTACAATGTAGGGTCTGGTTCAGGTTGTCGCCCTGCAAATTGCTTCCTCTGTATGTGTTAAGTGTGAAAATTTACATGTAATACGTGCGTAACAGGTAGTGACATTTTGGAACCAGTCACAGACAGACTGCAGACAGCTCATCGTGCATGCACATTATTGTTCCATTGTGTCAAGATTAAACAGCACAACATTCATACTAAAAGGAACACCATCAAATATTTGAATCCCACTTGACAATCAAACTGGCCTGTACTTACATGTACCTCAGTGCATGCTAACATACATACAATAAAGGCTGGAAGAAGTGGAAACAATAGAGGTGGGGAATGGATTAAGCTGTGAAGTGTAAGACTTGTAGTGAGAACTAAGATCAAGATACATAGGTACCTGTATAAAGTTTTACTGTACATGTAATGCTGATCGTGCTATCATCAAAAGTGTTAAACCCTCCATTTGAGTTGAATCACCAAGAGGTCAGGTTTTCAATCATCCTTCACTTTGCTTTGGGTGTAAATATGGGACGCAAGTCCAGTTCCTGGATTCACGCTTAGAAAATTTGATTTATCAGTGTCCTTGATTTTGTCGGTGTGGGGGGGAGACCCAGCATTACCTGGAAAACTGTGTTGTTGCTTGATTTCATTTTTGTTGACAAGCATAGTCTCCAGGAAACTGATGACCGATGGATTATCATTTGTTGGTCACTGGCCAAGCAGGCCGAGGTCAGTTCCAGTATTGCTGGCCAAAGTACCAGATGGACTGGACAGATAAATACCCCTCCAGGGTGATGCTGTTGGGTTTTGGCTCTTTGGAGACAAGTTGGGCCAGCGTAGAAATTTATGTTGGTTTGTTTACCCTGTGGCTTTGAATTAATTAAGACGGGAATTTCAGTTATTGATATCCTCAAATCTGCATCTGACAGAGATTCGTTTTGCATCACTAAAGTGATGTGCATTATAAGCCTACATGTATATTTTTGTCACAGTCATTTTGATGTACTGTATGGCACGTGTGGTGCTTTCTGAGATTTTAGAGAACTTATTGACAAGCTTACTCAGATGGGACTAAAACTAGCAGCCGCCTGCTTGATAGTGCAGGTGACTTTCTCTTGCCTAGCAAACTTGCCTGGATCAGATGGCACATTTGAATTCAAACGTACACTGTAGCGGTGGGAATGTAAATCAGTGACATTGAACTCTGGTTAGTGCTTGCTATTGTCAAGTGACATTCTGCAGGAGGGTTTCCAGCTGAGCAGGAAAGAGGAAAAACAGTGTTTGCCCACAACAAAACTTTACTTTGATGGGTTCTTTCCAGAGGGAGAAAATGGATTGCAATGTCCTTTTTCATTTGCATATAAAAAAGGACAGTTGTTAGCAAAGCTTGGGTGCTCAGATCAACTTCCCTTTAGGGGCAAACAGTAGACTACATGTAGCTGTTAAAGTTGCCAAATTGTTGACGTTTATCTGATATGATAAACTCAGAGTGGGAGGTCTATAGCCGTGTCTCATCAGCAGTAAACTCTAATGTACTGCTGGTTACCGTTTCATCATTGAACTGGTAAATCATCTCATTCTCATTCATACTTACAATTAATTGTATTTGGTTGTATCCACTCTGATTGGAACAAAAGAGGACTTTTTTAGAACTCACTGCATAGGCGCAAGTTTATGATGGGATCAGTGGCACGTTTGACCCAGAGAACGCTGAGTATGCGTAACAAATTTAGTCCTTAATGTATGGTCTTTGCATAAAAGGAAAGGATACAAGACAAAACCGTATGCTCTTTATAGGTGTTTCATTTTCTCAGAAAAAGAAATTTCTAGAGTTATTTGGAATGAAAAAATCCAATTGTTTTTGGTCATTTTGTTTTTTAATTATTTGATGAAAGCATTGTGAAATCAGCTTGACATGCTTTTATATGTAGATGTGGTTTTGTAGATGATGTTAAACAAAAAATATTTTCTTGAAAACACCTTTACATTTCAATAAGGTAACCTTACAGGGGTTTTTAAAACAAATGTTAATTCCATGCATTGTTTGATGGTTTTGGAAGACAAGGGATATTGAACTTTTCCACAGAAAATGTTCATACACTTGCAGTTTTCACTTCACAATTACTGCAGCTGATGATGCAGAAGCAGATTTGCTTTCCTTATTTTACTCTTTAATCATTGGAACCAAGCATTGTCCCTATTAGAAAACTAATACTTACAAAAAAATTGTTGACAGCACAGAGGTTAAGAAGTGATGATGGTGTTTAAAGTATATTTTTATTTTGATGTAATTATGGAACAGGCTGAGTAGAAAGACACATTATGGAAACACTCACCTGAGGCCAAAAGTCAATGATAGGGGACATTACATTGCTACTTGATGGAAGGTCAATTGTTATATTGTATGCAAAAACTGTTGCTGTTCCTTCTTGAATACAATGCAGAAAAAATACAGCTTGGTGCTTTTCCAACTTTTTGCAGAACTTCAATTTGAGTTGTAAATCTTTGCTTGGACAAAGGATAAAATTACTCAGTGGCTTGAGCAGATTTTAAACTAAATTAAAGAACACGTCATTGTTGCACTTGAAAAGAGACACTGAATTTAACTGAATTTTCTGTTTTCAACAAAAGAGAGGGTTTATTTACTCTCCGATAGAGTGGTATTATTTGAATTTTGTTCATAAAGTTATCTTCAGACTGGGATCAAAAGTTACAGCCAGAAAATAGGTGGCAAATTTGGAAAATTACTTCTATACGAGGTTGTGCAAACAGGCATGTTCAATATTGTACTTGTTGCTAAGAGGAGGACGGTTTCTTGGCAAAAGGCACCCTCTCAGTTGATTTATCTAAATTTGTTGTCTTGTGTGGGCAGCTGGTCTTGCCTTACTATGCAAGTCAGTGGGGCATAAATTGTGTTCCTACATGTACTTATGTTTTTTGTTACTTTAAAGTTCACAGCCCAAATCAGGATAACTTGGCAAGAAAGTGTCAGCTGTGACAGTTATTGCTGCTGGCAGAACCCAGGTGTGGGGACGGTGAGAGTCATATATCCAAAAGGAATAGTTTTGAGGGTTGAAAAATAATGGCGTATTGGGACCATTTTATTCGCCTTCCAAACGTGTGTAAAAAGCCTCCAAAGGTAGGGAGGCCACCAAGGTTGCATAAAGAAATTTCAGAAATTTAATGGTGCCCCCAAAACAAATATTTTTGCTCCCCTCCAAACAAAAATCATTCCACATCTCAAACTTTACACATGTCTGAGTTGGTGTCTGTGTATTACAGTGCTGATGTCGCATGTTTAATCAGCATGGAAAAAACACTTCAACTCGCAATTAGAAACTCAAAGATCACTGTGAATCACCTAATATCAGAGCCAATTGTTTAACTAGTAACTCTGAGAGGTACATATCGCATCGATCAGTGTTGTTTATTGCCCTGCAAGGACTTTCCAAGGGCAAGTTCATTATCCCAGTGCATGCTAGAAACTTCCTGGCCAATCACTGACTAGCACAGCAGCAGTGGGAGGTCAGCCCACACTTTACTGACCTATCAGGGTTGGGCTTCCCAAAGTTTGAGCCAATCACAGCAACCCAACACCAGTTGGCTCTTGTACTTTGTAGCCAGCTGTGAGTGCTGATTTAGTCTGCTGTCAGCATGGCCAATTGTATGCAAATGAGCTGAAGGGGTATAAGAACTGAGCCCAGCCCTTGGTGAGACCAGAGACAGGGAGAGAGCAATTCCTTGATCTTTCGTCTGTCCGTGGATTCAACCAGAAATCATGAAGCTTCTTCTGTTTCTTGTGGGCATTGCCTTGGCAAGTGAGTAAACCTGTCCAATTTTATGTGTATCATTCTAATGTTTTCTTTAATGTTTAAACTTAATAGTCAAACACCATTTTAAAAAAAGCTTTGCAGATCAGCCATTGCAAATTACAATGAAAGTGGGGATTTCATTGTGTCAAAATATGTATTCAAGAGAAATTCATTTGGCAATTCATTGATTTAGCAAATGCTGTATTATTACTAAATAATACTTATTACTAAAATCATTGTATCTTTATCATTTAGGAATGTCTAGAAAAATATTCAGTTACTCTGGTGTGAATTCAGATCCATATTTTTTGCTACTTGCCATAATAAATTGCTTCAGAAATATTTACACGGGGACATAAAGCTTTTATAACACAAGTTGAGGCTCAGGCAATCTAGCAGTGTGTGTTCTGAGATTGAGTGTATTCTGGGTGAACCACTAACTCCCCATTATTGGCACCATGCCAGGACTTTGGCTCAGTCAGATATGATACAGTGCCTAGCAAATTGAATGCTTGCTTGCTTGCTTCATTAACTTTATAGAGACAGTTGTAATGCCCTCACTGTATGATTAACATACATGTCTTTCACGATACTCGGGGAAGGCAACAATATTCAAAAGCACCTGTGCCTATTAGTGTTAAAGTACTTATACATGTATAGTTTGTAGGAGTTCACTGTGTTCAGACCACTTAAGGCAGCAAAACTATTTGTCATATTCAATACACAGTCTTACAATTAACTTGTTAACTACTCTTTCAAGGTAACAAATTCTTAAGGTATATCTTAAGATATAGATTAGGCTTAGGGAATAGTTTTGACCTACAGTACATAACACCTGTTTGTGTGTATTGGAATCCAACTTAAATCTAGTTTCTGTTTTCAGTTTTGGTTATAACTATAATGCCAGATATTTTTGTCCTTTGCCTTTTGTAGATGCTGCGACCACCATCATCCAGAACAATGGTATGCAACTCTAGGCCAAGTTTGTTCAAACAGTGCTTATTTTAATGACTGCGAAATTAAAAAGCATTTTTTTATGATGTTGACACATGCAGTCAAGGAACAGTATTTATTGGAATAAAATGGACCAAAATGTATAGAGGGAAGAGCCTAATTTATTACGAATAGTACACAATTCTTACCACACCTGGTATTTTCAGCCTTTGAAACCAGTTGTCCTGAAATGATGTATTTGGAGAGTGAAAGACATGTACCAAAAATATCCACTTTGTCATTGAGATTGAAGCTCAGTGCCTGTTTGAAGCAAAACTTTATTTTCACACTTGAATTTCAGATCTGGAGAAGAGCATAACCATCCACCGGAATGCTCGTAAGTAATTCACCTCCTTGAGAGAACAGTAGTAATACATTTAGATCATGGGCAGAGATCCCGGGGGAATGAGGGATATATCTCCCCCCCCCCCCATTTTGACCAGGGGGTGATTACCAATATAATACCTCCCACTTTTAAAGTCACGGATTATGCGCCATGCTGAAATTACCCCCCCCACATGTGTCAAGAAACCTCTGTGCATGCTTTAGATAAAATTTGAGGTGCACTTGACCTGAACATTCTTTTAGTTGCTCTGTGCCTTTGTTACATTTCCAACTTTTTTAGTTCTGTTCAGCATGGCACTACCGTTTTGACAGCACTGGCATGATTTGATGGGTGTTCGTAGCGTAATGTGCATGTACGTGCATCTTTCTCATTTTTCGTCAATCAGCGGAGACTTACCCAACTGAGTTCCAGCTCAGCAAGACCCATAGGTTCAACTACACGGGCGACATCCGGACCAGCTTCCCCCAGACCGGCAACGAGACAGTGGGACAGCGGCTGCAATGCATTGTGGAGATCTACCCCCTCACCACCACTCTTTGGAACATGAGGGTAAGTTAGTCACTAGCAAAAGTCCACAGGACATCCCTTAGGACTCACTGGGATCTTGTTTTGATCCCCTCGCGACATGTCTTAATAATCTGACAATTTGGCCTTTTACATGTGTGGATGTGATGGCCTGGATAGGTGGTTTCTTTATGAAGTTGTCAAATAACCTCATTATTTTGTGGATGAGTTGTTGGTTATCAATGTTAACTTTGAAAATCTGTTTTTAATTAGCACTTAAAGAATTTACCGGAAGATCATTGTGTGAATTGTATGCATGCAAGTGAACATCAATCATGATTGATGGATTTAGACTCTCTGCATTAAAACTAATTGCAGCTGTTTACACTTTTTCCCTCCCCAGCTGGTTAATCCGACAATCTACGAGATCAACGGAACTCATGATAAGCCGCAGTGGATGGTCAACTCCACCAAGGTGACTGAGGAGCTAAGGGAACTTCTGCAGTACAACGTCTCCATCCTGATCAACCAGGGCAAGGTGAGAACCCCTTTGCAGTGGTTTTATTGACCAAACTTCTCTGCTCAGTTGAAAATTTGGGAGAAGTCTCAACAGGAGTTTTTGATCAGTCCAGGTTCCAACTTCGATGAACTTTTAAAAATTGGAAAGTATTTCCTTTGCAAAAAAATGGGTTACCCGCTAAAATTTCATGTGATACATCTATTCCTCTTAAACAGGTTCTTCCACTTGGGAGTTTCACTGAAAGAGATATACCTTTGGCTTATTGCCAAAAAGAAGGAATTTAATATTCAAAGCCTTTTATTTTGTCCTACCTCAGTGTATGTGTTGCACTTAATTTGATCCTCTAAAACTTTGGTTTGTTTTTTTTAGTTTTTACGACCTCTTCATCATTGAATTGATTTTGGAACCCTGGGAAAAATGAGCTGTGAAAGCATATTATTAGGACCTATTACATGTAATTACAGGCAGACCCAGTTGATAGCTGCTGCAAGATAAAAGCCTCATTAACTCATCACATGACTTGATAAAAAACACTGATGACCCATTGTTAACTGAAACATACCACTTGGACTGTGGACTCTTACTCTGTGCTGCCACTTTTTCAGGAAATTTTTGATGCAAACTTAATCTGGTGCTTGATTGATTTATCTGATAAGCTACATGAAATGATTACGATTGGCTGTCACCAAGTGAAGATTGCCCTCAGTGGTTGATAATGGGCCAGGATAAGTCACTCTAATACATGCAATTTTTTTCAGTTGTTTTGGTCTCCTTTTTTTAACTGACATGGGAAATTTTTTTCATTTATGACTGAGTAAAGTAAATCTTGATTGTTAAACTAATTTTCTTGAAGTTGCAGGAGAATATCTAAAGCTGTCTAATTCTAGAATGAACTGTATTACCTCTAAGGGAGTCTATTTGTCACATTTAATGCTGTTTCCACCTCTTTCACCCTGGGTCAAATGGCACTGAGTCTTAATGTAGACTTGGATGTTCAGTCCCATATACCAGATTCAGTGGGTTTCTCCAAGAAAATCTGTCTGGGAGTTTCCTTCCCATCCTAGAACTGAGCATGCCTTCTGTAGCATTTCTCTGACTGTTTTCTTTAGGTGCATAAGTTTCATTTCTTTTGGCCATTTTAGGAAATTAGTGCTTTTGTTCCCTATGAAAGTAACAATATTTTGTCTCAAAAACTGTCTATAGATCGAGGCTGTCTTCGTGAACAAGTCTGAGGCAGAATGGATTGTGAACCTCAAGAAAGGTATCATGAACATGATCAGTCTTACAGTGGAGAAGGACAATGTGTATGAGGTTGACGAGGTTAGTTTGCCTACAGTCTTCTAATGTGTCTTATTTCAGTTGGCATTTGATCAATTTTGTGCTGAAGTGAATTTGTTCATTTGCATGTTATGTTCTTATTTTTGTTGAACATGCTTAACTTACAAAACGTTGACTCACTTTTTTGACCTGGCCCAGCTTGACCTGAATTTACACCTCCTCTTCTATGTTTGTTTCCTCTTTCTGATCTCCAGGAGGGTGTGTCTGGCATCTGCAAGACCCTGTACACCATCAAGGAGAACAAGAACGAGGACTTGGTGACCATCATGAACATCACCAAGGTGCGGGATCTCACCAACTGCTCCAAGACTGCCTTCAACAAGCTGATGACCTTCAAGGCCAAGGACTGCGATGACTGCGAGAAGGTTGGTTGCCTAGAGAGAGGGCCAGGGAGAAGGGATGGTCGGGAATTCCCATTTTGTGAAGCTGCTAAGCAGAATATTGGGGCTCGCAGACATTTAGTGCTGAGCAAAACTGAGTACCAGTCAAAAGTCAAAGGCACTGCTTGGCAAGTTGGCTGGTTGCCTGGTTTTGCAGAGCAAGTATCTTCTGAGCCTTCCAGTTCTTGAGTTTGGCAGCTTCAGCAGATTGCTGCATGATGGCAAAATTCAATCCATGTATCCTTTTTACCTTAAATGAAATAGACATTCACTTGCTTATGGCTAAAAAACACTGTCTTGCACGAAGACATTTGGCCCTGTACATGTCTTCCACATGAAGTTTCACATCATGGAAACGCTAATTGATCTTGGGTCTTTGAGATCAGTTTGCATAGTTGTTGGTTTTTTGGGTATTACCAGAGTGAAAACTTACACAACCAAAAAATTACAATTAACCATGCAGAGAAAATTCACGAGTAATAACAGAGATAGTCCCTGTATGATTGACAACTCCTTTCTAATGGGTCCTTTAAACATAGAAATTGCAAGTAGATTTCCCATGCAACAAGGAAACCTTAAACCTACTGAACTCAATGATACAATCCAAATGTTAGTTTAGGGTTTTTTGTTGTTTTTTTCAATAACAGTCTAAGGACTCCATGGAGGCGTTGGCAACCTTCAAGTACAACATCACTGGCACCAAACAGAGATATATCATCAACAGCGTCCAGTCAGATGCCCACTATGTCTTCTTCCCCATGGGAGTCAAGGGCGGATCTGTCCTGGTCCATGTCAAGTAAGTCCGATATTCTCGCCCTCTCTCAGGCCTCCTCTTTGTAACCTTTGCACAGGCAAGATTTAGGTCTTCTTGTCAAGCAAACAGTTACCATCTGATGATGGGCAGTGCATGTTACCTGCTTCGCAAAATTTTCCTGGTTCTTTTCAGAATCTTTTCAACTCGCAACAGAAAATTGCCACGTTATGCAACTGTGAACTTGCTTCAGTTACATAATGCTCGCCACGCAAACTTTAAAATCTCTTGAGAGACCTTTTTCTTTAACATATCCTCGGGTTTCGAATTTCAAGAAAACAATATGGAAAATTTCACACCTGTAGCCCTTTGTTAATATGAAGCATCTTTCCCACTATCTGTGCAGCCAAACCCTGAAGCTGATCAATGTGACCTCTGACCCGTACTTTGAGAAGAGCCCCACTCAGGAGTCACGTGGTGGCCTGACCTACTTGTTCCCCGAGATCGTCAAGGTTGAGGAAGACATGTTGAACACTGTTCAGAAGGTACGATTTAAGATTGAAGCAGAGCACTCAAAGCCAGTTTATGCTTAGCCTGAAAAGGAACACAAACCCTGACTGAGCATAACTCTCCAAGTTTTAAATTTAGCGAAAGTCACCGAAAAGGTGTACTTTTTGTGTAGATAAGTAGTGCAAGCAGTTTGAAGTGTCATCACCAATTATCGTAGATAATAGCTTCCGGGTTGATACTTACACATGTACATTTGTCCTAATTGTTGTTTCCTAGGGCCTTTCATTTTAAAGCAAAGTCATGCTGCATACTTTAGCTAAGTTTTACATGTAAGATCTTGCAGAATTATTGGCAATATGTGGAAAGAAATTGGTCAAAGTAGCACTTAACCTTAATTGTTGTGTTTTCAGTTTGGAATTTAGTTGTTTTTGCCTGGAAAACCTGATTTGGTTTGACCTTTCTACGTAAAATGACATTTGACATTTTATCACCCCTTCCTGCATAAGGTCGACTTCATGCTGAAGAAGTTGGAGAAGCAGACCAACTCATCCCTCACCATCGACTCTCCCAGCTACTTCCTTCTCCTGGTCAGGAGTCTGTTTGAGGCCAACTACGAAACCCTGGAGGACATCTGGAACTTGGTCCGCCACAAGCCCGAGCAAAGGTAGGGCATGCTACCCCATGCTTTTTACCCTCACTGACTCACTAGCATGTATCAGGTGTCACTCTGATGGTCTGTCTTGTACTGTGCGAGCAGAGATGTGGCAGTTCTAACTTCTCTGACTTGGTCAATAGCTCACTGAACTCATTGTCCTGGATTGCTTTCTGTCTAGACTGCTAGAAAAAATTATCATTTTTTTCTGTTTTCAAAAATCTTTAAAAATTCCTTATCTTCATTTACCGGACACTTACAAACACGTGAAGGACTTTCTGGTGTCCACTCTAGCCTGACAGACAAAATCTATTGACGCCCAAGTATTTCAGCCAGGCCTGCAGCCATGTAAAAAGAGCCCAGATTGTGCGGTGTTATATAAGTTTCCTTTGTTCACGAACCTGGCTCAGTGCGCTGCTGACCTCTTTTCAGTAGGGGCAGGATTAGCATGCAGCGGTGCTGTGTGGCTCATCGCTGTGGTGGTGGAGCACTTTTGTCCCCGGTGGTAATCCGCTCGGTCTAAATGTCCCAAAGGTGGTATACTGTTTCAAAACAAGGCTGGATTATCTCCACTTTTGAGAGCGAAAAAATGTTGATAATGCCCACCAGCCTGGTCTTTTGTTCCGAGTGCGGTCTTTTGTTACAAGGCCCTGTTCCCGTTGTCCGAGTTCGGAGACCCCAGCCACGCATATACAAGCATACGTGTCCGGATCCAGAATCCCCAGCAGGAAGTGGTTAAGTCAGTTACTTTCTTTACCGTTTTGTTCTTGCTGTCACTACATGGGAATTCTCTGTCTACCATTGTTTATTTCTTCTTTACTGGCCTCAGTTACCTTACCAACATTGCTCCTTTTTCTCTTTCCTCTCAGGAAGTGGCTGATTGAGGCCATTCCCTTCGTCAACCGGCCTGACATGACCCTCCTGATCAAGGAGCTCATCACCACCGAGGAAACACTGCTGACCACAGAGGAGAAGATCACCATCTTGACAAGGCTGGGCTTCATCAGACAGCCCAGCGAGACGACCGTGGAAGCAATCAAGGCATGTAGGCCATAGATAATGGCTTGGATGAAACCTTAAGTACTTTCATACTTTGCGGCTTTTGCTATGTATTATCTGTGTTATCTGTGTTATCCATCTGTTAAATCCCCCCCCCAAGAAAACACAGTATTACCTTCACCTAGCATTATGCACTTGTTCATGTTCAATTGTGATAGTACTCTGTGATCTAGGCAATCATGTCCAGGTGTGCAGAATGTTACGTAAGCTAGTGCACCTGTTAGTTTGGTTCACTTTTGAGGAGGTGCGCATGCATCTTTAGCTGCGGAGTAAATAGGGCCATGTTTGAAGTTGTGGAGTTTTTGGGGTTAACAGGACATCTGCGAGCACAGGGTCCTGCAGTGGCACCATAACACCAAGGTGAACACCACCTATGTCTACAACCTGGTCCGCATGCGCCATGCCTGCTACCGCTCACTGGGCATCCAGATCAATTCGCTCAAGAAGACAGCCAAGTTTGTCCCACCAGCACTCGTCCACTCACTCCTCCACTGCGAGAAGCATTTCGATGACAGTACCAAAGCTACCCCGTGGGACCCAACTGTCTACAAGCAGGTCAGCACACACTTGGCCAAGTGTACCTAAGTTATTTTTTAAGCACACTGTATCTGTTACATGCAGAGAAAATTTAGGCTCTACAAAAATGTTTGACTTGGTAAAAATGGACAACCAGCCAAAGGTCACCTGCATGGAAACAATTTTTTGTAAAATGTAAAGCCTTGCAAAGTAAAATTCCTTCAAACATCATAGAGGATTCCGAACAGTCAATAATTAGTGTTGATTATTTATACTGTTCTGATGGAAAAACTGTCTTGGATAGGCTGATGAATTAGGTTTGTATAGATTCTGGAGCAGAAATGTAATGGCCAGAGTAATGCATAAATTAATTGCAGCATATACATGATTTACGGGAATATACATGATTTATGCTTTATGATGGACCACTACCCGTATCGTACAGGTTCCGAGGATCCAACAAAAAGCAACTTGACTTCAATGCAGTTTGCCCTCTATTGTCTTCCTTTTTGTGTCCAGATGGGAGTGAATCAGGTCACCAGCGAGGTGGACGATAACCTGACCTTAGAAGAGGCCCAGGCCCTAGTAGACGTCACCAAGAAGACCAAGGTGCGCGAGATGTGCTTGGTGGCCATGGGCCAGGTCGGGCTGCCTGACCACATTCCCTACATCGAGCCCATCCTGCACCAGACCGTCACCAACCAGACACAGGATGTCAGAATCGCTGCTTGCTTTGCACTGAGGAAGATGAAGAATATCCCCAACAAGGTATATGTTGCCACTTCAGATGCCATGGCTCAATTGAGGTCATATTTTTAACAGGCTTTCAGAGCTATGGTTACTTCATTTGTGTGCACATTTCCCCATAGATATAAATGGCAAAGTCCTGTACCTAACCATTGATATAATTCAGATGCAACCAAGTCATTCGAATTGATGAGTACTTGGCCATCTCAAACATTGATCAAACATCAAAGACAAGTCTATTTCAAGAGCTGTGGAGATTAAGTTGAACTCAACATTTCCAACATTGCTAATGTTATAAGCATTCTCGCATTAGGTATAATGCCTGATCACAACGAATGTGTGGGTTTGTGGCTTCCACCAACCATTTAAAAAAAAAAAAAAACGAATTTGTTTCCACCCCCTTTTTTGCCCACCAGGTTCTGTCCCTGCTCCTGCCCATCCTCCGCAACCCCTACGAGGACCCAGAGCTCCGCATGATCGCTTACCTCGTCACCACCGTGACCAACAAGCGCCCCAGCGTCTTCACCCTGATTGGCCAGGAGCTGAACAAGGAGAAGTCAAAGCAGGTCCGCAGCTTCATCTACTCCCACCTGAAGACGCTCTCTGAGAGCGTTGTGCCCTGTGAGAAGGACCTGTAAGTCTTCCCACTCCATTCACATTCAATTTGGCCAGAAATGCCTGGAAGGCTGACACACTTCCCCATTATGCACGAAACTTGTTGCACTTTTTCTATATAATAAATATTATATTAATATATAATAATGCATAGAATAACAATAATCCCCTTTTCAACTCTGCAAAACTGTCCAATTCCTTCCGGTGGACTTCTGTTGTATCCCTTCATATACTGTAAGTAATACTTCAGTGCATTTGAATGAAATACTTTTCTCTATCTTAATTAACCAGGGCCATTGCTGCTCGCTATGCCCTTGTTTTTACCAAACCCTTCAACCTTGGACCCACCTATTCCAAAGTCCGCAACGTTGGCTTCTATGACCGTAAGTAACCTGCAGGAATTTCAAATAACCGAATTTTAACTATCATGTCTCTTTTCATTTCCCGGAATAATTTGAAATCAAAGTTTGTGTAACAAAAACAAAAGAGAGATCCAACTGTATGAAAAAATTGGTTGGAATTTCTTCTGTGTCTTCAGATGAGACCAAGCTGGGTGCCAAGCTGAAGACTCGGACGATGTTCTCTGAGGGCGAGCTGACACCAAGCAGGACCAACATTGGCTTGGAAGTTGAAATGCTTGGCAAGAAGACCAACTTCCTGGAGGTAAGAACCTTTACTCCACTTTTCCATAAGCACTGTGCCAGTCTTGCTTGGTGTCCATTGAGTATAAAATGTGCAGTTCTCCCTTGCTGGTGACAAACAGTGAGGTTGATGACCAAGTCCTTGTTGATGCTGTGTGCCTGGCGTCCATAGGGGAGTACAGTGTAGCATCAGTGGTTAAGGTCTGTAACTCATGATCAGATGGTCTGGGGTTCAAATGACCTGGGGGAAGTCATTTTGCCCCTACTTGCCTCTCTCCACCGAGGATCGTATGTGGGAGAGTAAACAGTGATTTAACCACTTCATGCCGGGGCATTTTTCAATGTTGATGATGCTGGGCCCGCATGACTATCATTTTCCTGTTTTCAAAATCCTTCAAAAAATCATCATTTCATTGCACGGTCGTTTACAGCCGCACGAAGTAATCTTTAGGCACTACTCTAAGTTGACAGGTGACCTGCAGCCTTGTAAAGAGCCCAGATTGTGCTGTGTTGTATCACTGTCTTTTGTTCACGAACC